AGGTGTGCCTCCCCTGGGGCCGGAGGGGGGCCCAGCGGGGGCATGACTGTTCCGGTCCCTGCTTAGGAAAATGGAGGCAAAGAAATCGTTAAACATGTTGGCTTTGTCATCTGGTGTGATGACCAGATTTCCTAACGTCTGCCTGGTTGATAAGAGCTCTGTTTGTTTTTGCCTCATGATCTTGGCCAGGCTTGTAAAAAACATGAGACTAAGCTGGTCGTTACTGCCCCCCCTTTTATTGTTTAAGAAAATGCAGGTAGACTGCTTGAAGTTCATTTGCCTAAATTCTCACTCTGGCTTTGGCAATATCCAGTATTTCATCTGCTTTCACCTACACACCACTGTGGGCCTCTAAATGTACAACTCTTCCCAAATAAAAAGAGAGAGGGAAGGGGGCCATGTTTTTAGATTAGGCTGTCTTTGATATAGCCGAGGAGCAGCCAAACGCTGCTAGAGTAATTCAGGGGCCGCCTCATCTGGGATCTTGGGGAGCTGGTGGGCAGAGAGAGGGGCACTATTGCTATGCTTGTTTGTGTGGCTGTGGGGGGGGAACCACTGAACAAACAGAATATGTCTCTTGCTAGGCCCCAAACGAATATGTCTCTTGCCCTGGAGCAGTTGTTGTTAATCCTAAACAGGTGTACTTTTCAGCGAGCATTAGCTAGTGTAATACAGTAAAGCCCCTAGAAGGAGCCAAAGCACAGGCCAGCCAAACGCTCTTTACCTGTCATTGCTTCCTACTCATCCCTACTTCCCCTTGAAAATGAAGGTGTTCTAGAAAGCCTCCACACCTGCATGTGCCAGATCATCAGTACTGCAGGAGTGCATTGCTTCTGGTATTTCTTGGTTCAGAAATAAGCAACACCAAATGCTAAGAGTTCCCATCTTAATTGCTCCATTTCCAGCACTGCACTTGGAAAAGTGGAAGGTAGGGTCATTCCAGCAGCATTCCAGTTGCCTTGTACTAATACGTATGCATATTGCATATCTAGGAGCACCACCGTTTTTTCTAAAACATAGTTTATGCTACAATCAGTGGTACTGTGGACACATTCTACCTGCATGTCTGCATAACGGCTGGTGCAGCTAGTAGTTACTTCAGGTGAAATCTCCTATGTACATTTCCCTTGTACATCCAAGAACCCAACTGATTCACTGTACCTGGATGGAGCATAGCAAATATATCCTGAAGTTGAAAGGAGGCTTTAGTTTGAAAAAGCATGTTATAGTTTCTTTGCAAAGGAAGCTGCAATATAGTTAAGGTACCGCTGTCATCTTCATTTGAGAGACTGGCCAGTCAACTCCAAAGTTCAGTGTGCGCCCAGGTCAGCATTTCTAGTAGTAGGTGAGGCAGACAATAGGAAACTTTTCAAATACTACATAATCTTAAAGTAAATCAGAAGATGATATAAGTTGTCAAAGGGAGGTCAAGTAGTTACCCTCACTTGGATATATTTAAGGCAGCATTAGACTGGTTCTGTGGAAATGTATGGATGTGGGAGGATGAATTGTAACATACCCAACAGGTCCCAGCTGTATCCAGGGGAGGTATACACCCCGGTTTTCCATTCTCTCTGCTCTGGAGCACTAGCAACCAGGGTCACCACCTTCTGTCAGCATGAAATCCCTTTAAAGCATTTCTTAGACTGTAGAAGTAAAATTCAGACACTCAAAAGACTCATTTAAAGGAAGCCTTTAAAAATGGTGTGAGAGTTGTGGCTGTAATGTGAGGACAGGACTGGAAACCAGTAGTTATTGGGTGACTGGGTGCTCTGCTATCTGTTGCTCTGGAGCAAGTTTCCTGGGCTAGGAAAGAACTTTCCAAGAGCGTGAAGGTGACCCACATAATTACATGGTAGACAGTGGAGTCCCTTGGGCAGTGAAGATGTTTGAAAATCCCAGCCATATCCTCATGGACAGCTATATAACAAAAAGTAACTGTTATTTCTCCATCATTTATGGGCATTAATTAGGCTCTTTAAAGTGATCTGAAAAAGGAAACTGTTCCAGTACTGTTATTCATGCAGGTCTATCTTTCTAGATATGCCCATATAGCATTTCCATTAGCCACAGTGGGAGTCCCACAAGTTCTCTGGGAGGATAAACTGGAAAAGCATTATTCTCAGATCCCATTTAAACAGATCCTCAGCTCCTAGCCTCAGCAGAAGAAAGAGTATCATGGGGCTTAGTCCAGCTTCTGCCACAAGTGTAATCTCCAGAATAGACCTGATATCAGAAAAAAGGGACATCTGCTCCATCATGGCTCCTTCCTACCTGACTCCTTCCTACCTTTCCTCTTTCTTCCATATACCAGCAATGGGAGGGCAGCTGGCTGGGGAGAGGGCTATGCTGCTCCTGCCAGCTTTCTACCTGGAAGGAAATTCTCCAGGGTCAGTCTCTGGTACAGAGTGTGCTCAGTGGACTAGAGAATCTGGTCCTGAAACTTCTCACAGGCACGTGCTCTTGCTGAACATCCCCTTGGTCTTGGTTTGCATTTTTGAGGCAAGTACAGCTGACAGACTCCAGAAATCCCTAGTATCACATAGTATGTCTGCGTGTCTTGGCATTTTTGACTTCAGGGAGGTTGGCAGGCCTGTTCCCCAATGGCTAGCTCCATAGTTAGGAGACCCTATATGGACTCCTGCCTAACTGCCTCCAGCTGAGATTCAGTCTTTCAGTGCTGCTGCATAACCTCTATGTGGAAGCAGTCCAGACTTCTGGACAGATCATGTTTCTCTGGATACAGACACATGGGCAGTGTGCTGTAACCTGCCCAATTCTGCTCTTACACTAGTGTGAAACTAGCATGGTGCTCTTATGAGGGAGGTACTCCTGCGGAAATCCCAAAGTAAATGTGATCAACACCTGTGAGTTAGAATTGTGCTTGACAGCTAATGAGGATCTGCATTTATTTTGTCAAGTGTCTTAGATTGCGTTTCTGCTGGTTTTCTCCTTCTCTAGAAGGCACATTCCTTTTCTATCTCCAGCATTTTCTATCTCCAGTCCCGCATCCTGATTAAATTTCTCCACAGTCTCAGCTATGTTGAGTCAGGCTTTGTTGTTCCCCATTTATACTTGGTCTGTTTGGAAGCTGGGTGGCTAGATAAATGAGGAAAAATTAGGCACTGATTTCTTTTTTCTCTCAATTGCAGAAGGAGATGGGTTCAACTGAAGACCTGTACCTGTCCACAAGGAAAGTGAAAGAACTTTCTGTGATTGATGGCCGGAGGGCCCAGAACTGTGTCATTCTCCTCTCCAAGTGAGTGTGCCAACCTCAAATTCACAGTGTATATGTTAATTAATTTGCTAACAGATGAAGACAGACATGAATACCTAGACACAACCCAATTCTCATCTGCTGATAATGGCACAAGTACACAGAATCAGATACTTCCACAACCAGATGAGATGTGACTGTCTGGAGTGGCATCCACTCCTGGAGACCTAAACACACTGATTGGCTTCCAGACACCCCTGGGTAACTTGAAACTCATGCTTTCACATATATGTGTGTGTGTATGTTCATCCACACGTGTGCGCAGATGTGTACTTGGTTGTATGTTGGAATACTAGCACAAGACTAGGCCCTCAGAACAATCACAAAACCAGAAACGCACATAAGCAGGTGCATGCGACTACCCTGCAGTCAGGAGGACATAGGTTTTTCTATCATGATGAGTACTGTGTGTGATATACATCATTTGAGTACACTTTTTCTTCACTACTGTTTTCTATATGCTTTTCTGAGAAACCTTTCTCAAGCCCCCTGTAACAGGCCAGGAGGCTGCTGTTATTTTGAGAGAAAAAGTAGCAGATAGAGCTCAGGGGCTGGCTGTAAGAGGGAAGGCAGCAAGGAAACAGTGAGCTGCCCATTTAGGTAAAAGGGCAAACCTGCAGCCAGTCAAGGAAAGCCACCTGACCAGAACGGGACAGGGCTTAGAGGGCATACACGCCTGGGGCCTGAGCCAGGACAGGCTGTAGAGAAAACACCTCCTGACCAGGAAGGCTACAGGAGAGTTACTGGCTGACCCCTGAGCTGCCCTGGGAATGCAAATAAGGCACTGAAGGCTTGCAGAGGTTTATGACCTAGGGTTGGGGGTGAAGGTTGATTATACAGCCAATGAGCTAACAGTTTTAGTTATAACCAGTGTGTTTGTTTTCTTTTGGGCTTTATACCAGCAGACTGGATTAAGACTATTAGGGGTGGAGGATGTCCCAGTAGCATCCAAGCAGGGTGGAGGTAGGGTCAGGGGAGGGTGGGACAAGGGCTGAGCCAAAGCAGGTGGGACAAGGGCTAGAGTCCAGAAGCCAGATACAGCACAGTGGGCCTGGACTAGAAGACCCAGTGAGAGGAAAGGGGCAGAGGCCAGGAAGGCTGAGGCCCTAACAAGGGAGACTGATTGAACAGCAACATCTGCAAGGCATGGACATGGCTACAGGGGAGGTCAGAAGCTATGAAATTTGCCCTTAAGGTGTTGGAATGCAGCTTGTTAGTGGAAGAGGGCTCACTTCGGGGTCCCTGGGCAGCCTCCCTTTCCTAAGTTAAATACTTATGCCAAGGCATGGCAGAAAGGAAGAAGTTTAGGGTATCCA